AGGGCGAGGCGGCGCTCCTGCTCCTTGGCCCGACCCGCGACGCTCCTCCTCCTTCCCCACCCCGATAGCCGGTGCAGCGGGCCGGCCCTGCCTCCTTCCCTACCCCGGCGACCGATGCGTCGGCGCGTGCCCGCTGCTTCCTTCTCCCCCCGGCGACCGATGCCTGTGTGCACGACGGAGGCGAATGGATCTAGATCTTCTATTTTTTTTGTTGAATTTGGTCATCGATCTATGTATTTTCTGAATGTTCAATTTAGAATCGGTTAGTTCGGTGATAACTGAAACCGAACCGAAAAGAACTGAAACCGAATTGCTCGGTTCTCACTTTTCAAAAGAACCGATCGATTAGCAGTTTCTAGGTAACCGAATTTACTATAAAACCGAAGAACCGAACCAATCGGTTTCGGTTAACCGAATGCCCATGCTGAATTATACCTAATGAGAAATGGAAAGTAAACAACACTGCCCATAAGATTGTTGACTCTTGGAGATGCTCTCATTTTTTTTAGATAATGGATATTTTATACCCAGCTTCATCTACTAAATGTAGAATCAGGCTAATAATTAGAGAGTTTGAGTCTTAGACACGTAAAGGAGCTGTAAAGGAGATGCGCTCATGGAGTTAAACTTGCCTTAAGTTTAACTAGTCATATAGAAATTAGTTAGTACTCCAAATAAATATTAATATTTATATATCTCATGAAGTATTAATATTTGTATCTCTAAATAAATTTATTATGAAAAGTATATTTTACGATTAATGTAACAAAGCTTATTACACATCATAAGTATTAGTATTTTTATACATACTTGTTCAAATTTTAAGCAAGATGTGCATTTGTTTGGAGACAGCGGAAGTATGATCCCGTGCTCAAATAACAAAGAAGACATTGGCCGATGGGATATTTGCAATTTTTCAAAAAGGAAATCATCACCTTGCCATCGAGATGGGGAAAAAAATCAGCCATGTGCTTGCTATCAACACGACCGGACCGCGTTTGCGTTCACTTCACCTCCTCCTCGTCCTTCCTCCTATTCCCCTCTCTCCCATGGTCCTTTCCTCGCGGGGACGAGTCGGCGAGCAGGGTCGCCCTTCGCTAGGTCTTCACCGGGCGCTTGGCCAGCGGTTGTCACCCGCCAGGTATCCTGTCCGTTCTCTTCCTTCCTGCTCTTCGTAACCCAGCACCCAAACCCTGACGTTAGCTGCTTGTATCGGATCTGACCGAATTACATGTATATTAATGTGTTATGCCTACTAATTTCTTTTTTTTTGGCAAAAATTATCGGGTGTACATGTGTCTTGTTCCGGTGCTTGGAGTGGGTCAAAATTATCAAATCACCTGTTGATATCTCACCAAAAGGATTCACATTTACACCATGTGTACCCATCTTCGATGAATGGATGGACGTTCGTGAACCCTCACTGCATTATGTTACCTGGCTGCGATGTTTCCATATTTTTTAGGAGCAACTGAACTGTTTGCACCTTTAGTTTTCTTGAAAACACAGTGTTACAATCCTCTATAAAAAAACCACCCTCGTCTCAGTTGTGATTTATTATGAGCAGGTTGAACAATACACCATATAAGGGATGAATTCACTGAACTGCAATCAGGTAAAATAGACATGCATCCGCGTAACATCAACGAGAGTCAGCTAGAAATGTGAGTGTGAACATTATAAATTGCCTAAGCTGGTGCCATTACTCGCACATAAATGTTTATTTTTTTGAGGGATCAGCAGGAGTCCTACTGCTTATATATATTATAAATAGATAAAAAAAGATAGTACAAAACAAAAGCAGAGTTTAAGGAACGTAAAAAGAGACAGAAAATAAAAAAGGTCATAAGAGGATTTGTAGCCATTGTTCAATGAGGGAAATACTTCTTTGCTCTATGCATAATCGCACATAAATGTTGTCGGCTTGTTGAGATATTCACACGCAATGACACAGAATGCCTAATCCTTATCCTCTGAATGACTCATGGCCAGATACGGCGGGTTAGATTTAGACTTCTAGGGCACCCTTTTGTGATATTTGAGGGCTTTGGTTTTCTTTACAACTGATACAATGTCTGCACAACTCATTAAAGTGGAAGTTGATAGCACGATGGACACTTGTCCTAAGAAATTGCAGTGGGGTAGATAGTGTCCATATATGGTTTTGGATTCCAGCGAAGTAACACGCAAAGTTCTCTAGTGTTATTTCGTGCACGACATCTATCGCTACGGCTATTTAAACCCATCACCCACTGGTTCTGCGTTCCATTCTTGTAGAGGCAATTTATATGACTGTTGCATATGCTTTCTCACTAGACAGTCTTGATCCTCGCGTATCCTACTATCCTAGTCCTCAAGAAGTGGGACTTGTTGAATCTCTTATCCTTGATCTGTTAGATCCAGAACGAAAGGTGAATGCCCTTTCTGAGTTACATAAGGTAATTATGTTTCTCATCTATAACGTCCATTTCATCACTTCCTATTCATTTTAGGTAATATCTCAAAAGTAACTGCCACTGAGTTGTTTCAAGCTCCAGTCGCCAGTTGCTTGTGATAGCATGAGTGGATGAGGTTTTCTGTAATCTGTCTTCTGTCTATCATAAATTGTGATGCAATAATATATCTTCCTTTCTTCATTAGGTAGTAAGCGACCAACCTATTTGAGAATATTGGTGCTTGGCACTTAATATAAATGTGGAAATCACGAGATAAATGTGGCACTGAATGATTCTAATACACAGATATAGTTTTCTTGCCTCTTTTTTTTGTTTATAAAGGAGTGATTCTCTAACTCCGCTGTAAACTACTATTTTACTAACCCATAAGCCCTTGTTTAATGCTATTATCTTGACATTTGTGATTATATGAAATTCTTCCTGATATAAATTAAATTTATTCCCATTGTATTTTTTTCTCAAACACGCAGGAGAGCTGCTTCCCATCGGTATTATGTTGGACCAATTTAGATTGTGCATCCCAAACAAACTAGCGGTCTTCCCATTAGCACTGCTTTTCTTCTCCGTATTCAATATGCTCTTACTTACTGATCATAAACATATGAACATATCACATCCATTTTTAACTTATACCCTGGGGAGACACACTGCTATGGTATCTTTCACCTCTATTCTTTGATTTGACATGGTAAACGCCATTCCTTCTTAGTTCCATCTTGTAATGCAAAGTATTTTGTATTTAGTAGCTTCTGGGGAGAAGGCCATATGTGCTAGGGACCTGCTTTTCCTAATGCATTCAGAGATCATATGTAAAAGAGAAACTTATAACTAAAATATTTCATGAACTACAGTAAAATGCTCTAGTATATCTTTGGAGTAAATTATCATTGCATATATCAAACATAACCATAACTGAACTGGCGATAGCACAACTTCACTCATCTAGTCACACCAAAAGCGAACCCCCACCCCCAATTTTGTCGTACTAAAGACAACCCAAATGACTCAAGCGCTAGCCAAAGTTGAGTGCATACAGTAAGTTGAATCATAAAACAAAACTTCCAGAGCAGGTTACAGACTTACCAGCTCACAAGGACCAACTTACTAAAGAACACATACAAAAAAGATACTCATTTGTTTTCTCCAAGACCATCAATGACAAACAATTCACAGGTCTAATTAGTTCATTATTATACATAAAAACACGTGGATAAGCATTATCCGAGTACACTTTACATAATTTAAGAATTCAATCCTATCACCGCTAATCCATACTTGAAAGCTAGTACAGTTTTCATGTGCATTCAAGGATATAACATCCAAAATCAGAGACAAATTTCATTCACACAGCAAAGCGAACCATCTATTTCTTACACCAAAGACAACTGTAAATAACTAAATATCCCAAACATCATATATTATCCAAAAAGAATATGCACAGAGCCACATAGCATTTGAAATGTACAAAAGCTAAGACAAATGTTAAGTTATTAGAGTAACAAACCAAAAGCAAAGGGTAAATATAAGGATGTATTTATCTTCGACCTTATAAGAAGGGAAAAAGAGTAGAAGGGTCTTTAGGTAGAATACCGAATTTAACAATTATAACTTTATTTTATTTTCTGAACCTCTTTGAATTGGGAAACCTGCCATATTCCTTGTACACAACCTGCTCCTCCCCCCAAGGTCTCACCTTTGTCTCTCACTCTCTCTCCATGGCAAGAGTCTGCGGAGGGCAACACTGTGGTGGTGCAGGCAGTGAAGGACATCAAGATGACGCTGGAGGAGCAGCTTGTGAATCCTAAATTGCATGGAAATCTCCCTCTGAGCTCTCCAAAGTCCGTGTTATGCCTTTCCTCATCTGCAGATTATACATCCCCATTGAAAGATTTGGCCTTTTTGATGTCTAGTGAGGTTTCTTGCCTGGAGGTCTTGTTGCAATAGTGGTAAAAGTACAGTCTTGTGATGCTGTGTGGTTTTCTGGGATAAGGATAGTTCAATTTTTTAAATGGAAACAATAGCGGAAGCAGTCTTAATGATTGGTATGGGAGTTTGTGTATAACTGTGGCAATTTAACAATTCCTTTATGATCGATTCTTGGTGTGCAAAGGAGGTGTTCTTTGACCTCTTACAGACTTTATCATGACATGGGGATCCATGGTTATACGGCGCAATTTAGTTTCACTTCTTAATTGGTTCTGCTTGCTCGATTGTGTAGTTGCACAAATTTAGGGGGTTTGTATGTATGATGTCTTAATTTTGGTCCATAGCTTGAGTTCTGGTGCATGTCTTTATTTCCATACTGGGTCCGCCCCTTCTTACAAATCTTTTATTTGTTCGTGAATGCTTATAAAGCGTCCACATTTATGATACTGAACTGATGTTGCAGCAGATCATAAAATTGTTGATCTTTCAAGTTCTGCTATAAAAATGATTGTTTGAATTGGTGAATTTTTAGGCTACTTTTCTTTAGTTGATTCAGTTGAGTTTCTCTCTCTCTCTCTCTCCCAGAATTGCAGGGAGATTGTCCTCTGATTGAAAGACATGTTTGGGCGTGCTCCAAGGAGGAGCAACAACACCAAGTACTATGAGGTCCTTGGCGTCTCCAATACCGCAAGCCAGGATGAGCTTAAAAAGGCATACCGGAAGGCTGCTATAAAGAGCCACCCTGACAAGGGTGGAGACCCAGAAAAGGTATGAAGATACACAGTGTTTAGTTGCTTGAATTTGGACTGTTTAGTTGTTCTGACGATTTTTGTTTCATGGATAGGACAGTTTAAAGAATTATCTCAAGCTTATGAGGTGCTTAGTGACCCAGAAAAGAGGGAGATATATGATCAATATGGGGAGGATGGTCTCAAGGAGGGAATGGGAGGAAGCAGTGATTACCATAATCCATTTGACATATTTGAGCAGTTTTTTGGGGGTGGTGCCTTTGGGGGTAATGCAAATTATATGTCTTAAGTTCCTCAATACTTTTTCCCTGTATTTTTGTAATTACACAAGGATATATGATTCAAAGGGAGTAGCTCAAGGGTACGCAGGCAAAAACGTGGTGACGATGTGGTGCATTCATTGAAGGTTTCTTTAGAAGATGTGTACAATGGGGCTACCAAGAGACTATCGTTATCACGGAATGTTCTCTGCTCAAAATGCAAGGGGTAAGTCTTCTCCGCCCCCACTTACCACCATTTGATTTGAATTTTGGAATACGCTGATTTGAAGTTGAAGGTACTAAGAAGGGCGGGCCTGGTGCAAGCGGTAGAGTCTTACCGCCTGTGACCGGAAGGTCCCGGGTTCGAGTCGCGGTCTCCTCGCATTGCACAGGCGAGGGTAAGGCTTGCCACTGACACTCTTCCCCAGACCCCGCACAGAGCGGGAGCTCTCTGTACTGGATACGCCCTTTTTTTTTAAAGTTGAAGGTACTAATTTTGAACTTAGCTCCTTCTGTACTTAAGATGCCAAATTTTGCAAGAGTAAAGGGATACAGAGGGACACCTATAGTCGTACCACTGTGTGCAATCAATCCTTGTTCAGTTTCAAGTTAGGTTGTCCACTATCTACTGAAAATTTGAGTTGTTGAAACCTATTTTCATCTGATTGAATCTGGTGGAAATCAGAGAAACTCCTAGATTATAATCATAAATGCGAAAAAAGTCAAAAGCCAACAGGTTGTTATGGAAATTTTGGGTCATCTATTTCTGTGGTACAACAACAACAACAACAACAACAACAACAAAGCCTTTAAGTCCCAAACAAGTTGGGGTAGGCTAGAGTTGAAACCCAGCAGAAGCAATCAAGGTTCAGGCACGTGAATAACTGTTTTCCAAGCACTCCTGTCTAAGGCTAAGTCTTTGGGTATATTCCATCCTTTCAAGTCTTCTTTTATTGCCTCTACCCAAGTCAACTTCGGTCTTCCTCTGCCTCTCTTCACATTACTATCCTGGCTTAGGATTCCACTACGCACCGGTGCCTCTGGAGGTCTCCGTTGGACATGTCCAAACCATCTCAACCGGTGTTGGACAGGCTTTTCTTCAATTGGTGCTACCCCTAATCTATCACGTACATCATCGTTCTAAACTCGATCCCTTCTTGTATGACCGCAAATCCAACGCAACATACGCATTTCCGCGACACTTATCTGTTGAACATGTCGTTTTTTCATAGGCCAATATTCTGCACCATACAACATATCAGGTCTAATCGCCGTCCTATAAAACTTGCCTTTTAGCTTCTATGGTACTCTTTTGTCACATAGGACACCAGATGCTTGGCGCCACTTCGTCCACCCTGCTCTGATTCTATGGCTAACATCTTCATCAATATCCCCGTCTCTCTGTAGCATTTATCCTAAATATCGAAATGTATCATTCCTAGGCACTACTTGACCTTCCAAACTAATATCTTCCTCCTCCCGAGTAGTAGTGCTGAAGTCACATCTCATATACTCAGAGTCTAAAACCTTTGGACTCCAAAGTCTCCCGCCATAACTCCAGTTTCTGATTTACTCCTGTCCGGCTTTTATCAACTAGCGCTGTATCGTCCGCGAAAAGCATACACCAAGGGATGTCCTCTTATATGTCCCTTGTGACCTCATCCATCACTAAGGCAAACAGATAAGGGCTCAAAGCTGACCCTTGATGTAGTCCTATCCTAATCGGAAAGTTATCCGTGTCTCCATCACTTGTTCGAACACTAGTCACAACATTGTTGTACATGTCCATAATGAGCCCGACATACTTCGTTGGGACTTTATGTTTGTCCAAAGCTCACCACATAATATTCCTTGGTATTTTATCATAAGTCTTCTCCAAGTCAATAAAAACCATGTGTAGGTCCTTCTTCTCCCTATACCGATCCATAACTTGTCTTATTAAGAAAATGGCTTCCATGGTTGACCTTCCGGGCATGAAACCAAATTGGTTCATAGAGACCCGTGTTATTGCTCTCAAGCGATGCTCGATAACTCTCTCCCATAGCTTCATAGTATGGCTCATCAACTTAATTCCCCGGTAATTAGTACAACTTTGAATATCCCTTTATTCTTGTAGATCGGTACCAATATACTTCTCCTTCACTCGTCAGGCATCTTGTTCGATCGAAAAATATGGTTGAACAGCTTGGTTAACCATACTATAGCTATGTCCCCAAGGCATCTCCACACATCGATTGGGATACCATCCGGTCCCATCGCCTTACCTCCTTTCATCCTTTTCAACGTCTCTCTGACCTCAGATTCTTGGATTCTCCCCACAAAGCGTCTATTGGTGTCATCAAAAGAGTCATCCAACTGAAAGGTTGTGTCCGTATTCTCACCATTAAACAATTTGTCAAAATACTCTTGCCATCGATGTCGGATCTCATCCTCCTTCACCAAGAGATGCTCCCTTTCATCCTTAATGCACTTAACTTGGTTGAAGTCCTTTGTCTTTCTCTTACGAACCCTAGCCATCCTATAAATGTCCTTCTCTCCTTCCTTCGTACTCAAATGTTGGTAAAGATCCTCGTACGCTCTACCCTTTGCCACACTTACAGCTCGCTTTGCAGTCTTCTTTGCCGCCTTGTACTTCTCTATGTTGTCCACACTCCTGTCATGGTACAAGCGTCTATAGCATTCTTTCTTCTCCTTAATAGCCCTTTGGACTTTCTCGTTCCACCACCAAGTATCTTTAGCCTCGCCTCCACTTCCTTTGGATACTCCACACACCTCTGAGGCCACCTTCCGAATGTTGGTTGCCATCTTCTCCCACATGTTGTTTATGTCCTCTTTTTCCTTCCAAGAGCCCTCTTTGATAACCTCTGACGTCTCCCCTTTCAGTTTCCACCACTTTGTTCTTTCAATCTTAGCTTCATCTATTTCTGTGGTAATGTGATATTTATTTAACCTGCTAAAATTCCATTCATTGTTCAAGATGATGTCACCATGTATAACAGGATACTGTTTGTCATGCACTCATGATAAATAGAATTTTTCAAAATACACACTAAGGTAAACTACTTGTCCACATGTGCTGGACTATTTGTTGGCTTGTAGGATGATATTTGCAACCTGTTGAAGTATAAGCGAATTGCCTACCTCTTCCTATTAGCTTAAGCTTCCGGGTTGAATTGGTTAGTACATGCAACTCAATATGTTATCAAAGCTAGAGGTCTGGAGTTCGAATCTTGGCTAGCGCAATTAAACAAGATAATTGTTGCTCGCCTCTTACTCCACGTCTGAGGCCTGAGGGAGCCTCCACGGGGGTTGGGGGGTGTTTAAGTATAAGTGAATTGCTCTACCTCTCCCTATCAGCTTAAGCTTTTGGGTTGAATTGATCGGTGCATGCAACTCAATACAACCACTGGCATATTCGGTAAAAGTAGCAGAGGCTTGAAACTGCATTTGTGATCATGTTGCATCGTGATTTACTGAATGCCCTGAATGTTTCCTGTGCAACAGTTTGTCCTCATCATATTCCAAATGAGATAATGCTGCAGCCATAAACTTCCATCTATTAACGTTATGTCTTGTTTTGGTTATGTGAATTTGTGATGATTGTATCATCAAAACTTGGTTTTGTTAGACTGAAACATGTACATTGCAGATTGCACAATGTTAGTAGTTTTGCACAAGGCATTGCACACTTGTGCTTTCTCTTGTCCTGCTTCGGTTGCAGTGGGGGTTCAATTAATATATTGACAAAAGATACAGAACGTCTTCCATGACCACGTACAGTGTTGGGAATTTAACACTTATACTGCTGGTTATAGCAACAGGAATTTAAACAACATTCATGCTGCTAAATTGTTTACCAACTCTATTTGCTTCTTCTATTAATGCAATGGTATGCAATTCTCCTGCATGTTTGAGAAAAAAAAATTATTTGCTTCTGTGCAGCTTTTCAGTGTTTCGTTGGTCCTATAGAGCTATTATATCGTTAAGTCTTATGGACAATATTTTTTTGTGATAATGTCTTATGACATATCTTGGAACTTCAAGCCTTTAGGTATGCTAGCTCATATGGCAATGGTTACGCAGTCCATCTATGTGGTTTAGGTATAGGATGTGTCCTCTGATTCTAGTGCTGATAATCGGAGCTCGAGACGTAGCTGCCATCTTTCGAATTTTCCAATAACCATTGAATATGGTCAATGTTTTAATTGTTCTAAAGTGTATTATTTGCAGAGTCTTGGCAGTTTTACTCTTTCCACATTTACCAACACATCCGTTTCAGCTATGTATTGATCCTACTTGTACTTTAGATGTGTGTTCTGATATCAATCCTGTGGGCTGTTCACATCTTGTAAATTCCACGTGGGTTGTTTCATTTGAATCCCTTCCTTGTAATCCAGATTGTGTGTAGCCATGAAGTTACTGGTGGCAACATGCTTGTGTTACCCAGTAATTTATAAGGCACTATTTTTCCAGAAAAACAAGAGAATGTGATCCCTTGATGAAAACCTCTGTGAAACTGCCGCCAACTGCTATACCGTAGGGTGGTCTTTTAAATTTTTTAAGTGAACTACTTTTGTTCTTGAAACTTCAGAATATGAAAAGAATGATTGGGACACAATTTTCAACTATGGAAACTTCAGTTTGGTACAACAAGGATTTCTTTCAACACTAAGGAAACATGCTTGGTTCCAATGCAGGTATTAAGTTGTATACAGGATCATGACAGTGCAATCCTGTTCAGGTGGATGTCTGCAAGCATATGTTAAAAAAACAAATTTGCTAAAACTTTTCTATTTAAATTTATGCTCTATAAAAAACTAATCCAATGGACAGCCAAATTGGGTTTCCCATTTAAAAAGTAAACAAGTCTGATGCACCTAATAACCCAATAAAAATCCACAATCATGCATCAATCATCATGTCCCATGGATTATTCACTACCTGTCATCCAAGCCCAACTGACTTCCATCTATTGAGCTTATATTTTGTTGAATCATGTTTTCACTGCCAGTTTGGTTCGTCCCTGTACAGTAGTCCTATACTTTTTTTTAACCAGGAAAACGGCAGAGGAAGCCCCCACTGTAAGATTTTATTAAAACACAAAAACAAATACTGAGCCAAACAAACAGAAAACACTTCAGCTAAGCCCTAGCAAGGCTAGAACAAGAAGAAAGACAAAGAACCACAAAACACAAGAATCAACCCAGGAGAGAAAAACAGATCACT